CCCTAGTTAATCCTCTGCTCCTATGTACTAATTCTGTAACGCTTCCTCAGTTTCATTAGTATTTTCTTAATTACATAGGGCTGCCTCCATGAAGGAGATACTCCACAAGAACAGGTTGCAGAGTGGTATCTTTGAACTCCAGTTACTCTGCATTTCCTCGCCTAAGTTTAGGTCTAATGCAGGACACTGGTGCTCCACTAGCGTGCTTCCTTCAGCCTCGAGGAACATGTAATGATTTTTCATTCAACTAGGATTAATTATTTGTTTGATCTGGAAATATCACCTGCATTACCTCAGAGGTATTAATCACAAATCTAGACATGTCCCCACAAAACTGTCAGCTCAGTGTGGCAGTGGGTCTATTATCACTTACTATGTACTGCGTAAATGGTGGCACCATTCTGTAGAGATGGTCAAATAAGCAAGAGCAGAACATTTTAAAACTTCCAAACCTAGAAACTTCAGAAACTGATCTCCCACACCAGACAAAAATATTTCTTTTCTCGCTCCTATAGGGTGGAAAAATCACCAGCAGCACTTTTTTCTCCCCCACCTAAGCGCTAGCCACACAGAAAGAGACAAATACACCGGCATTGATGAACCAAAGATTTGATTCAATACTTAACTAAATATGTATGAATCATGAAACTATAGAATCTGCTGCCAGAAGTGAAGGCCTATAGCTAACTATTGTCTCTCTCTACTAAAACTACTTGCATTAAATACTGTTAAAAAGTTTCTTTGAAGCTGGATTTCAAAACATTCTTTCAGAACTTTTTTTTTTTACAAGTATGCATGTTTTTAAGAGTTAGAAACGCTACATAAAAATTGGCCAATTCCTTTGAAAGACTACTGAGAATACCATTTTTTAATAGACACACCTACCTATTGATGCAATTAGTTTTGGTTGTCTGTAAGTAATTTAAACCAAAATCATGCCTTCAGGATGAAGAGTATTAAACTACAAATGTCAGGTAATGATTAATCTAAAACATGTTACTCAAGTTATAAGAACAAATGTTGCTCTGATTTATGTAAGCACCCCAATCTAATTAGGGGAAGACATAGGACTGCAGAGCTATTGAGATGCCCTGTGGAGGGGAACTCTCAAGCACGTTTGAAACTTGATGAAATTTTCATCTCATTGGAATTAAATGCAAAATTCTCCCAACGTCAATAAAATCAAGATTTCTTCTGATAAAGAACACTGGTATAAGAACAGGTGAGCACAACTGGCAATGAATACTTACAGATGTAAGGCATGATTTTTAATTTCTGTACCACAACAGCGAGGTTCTGTAATCATCCCCAGCTGGAGCAACAGCAGCAAGAGATCTAATGCTTCTAAAATGGAGCTCAATCTGTTTCAGACAAGGATCACATGACATAGCTGTGATGGCGATAGATTATCGTGATGATCCAGCAGGTCCCCGACAGTCATACAATACCTGCGCTGTAGTAATTCAGATAACATATTTGAACACAGATCTGGAAGTTCAAGAGCATAGTCACAAGCATAGCTGCCACAGACTAGCAGAAACATTACACTTATTACACAAAAATAGAAAGGGATGATAACGTTTACCTTCTCCCTAGAGCTACCCTTTTCCCAAAGATCAGCCCTGGTTTTTAGGTGCACCACTAAGAGCTGCACTGTAGTGTGCCCCATGATTTAAAGAATCACCAGCAGTCTTCAATGCTCTGATTCTGTCATGCACATCAACCGTGTTTCCACTATGCAACTTTGCACTATCACAGTGGCTATTTACTGACCAACTGGTGACCATTTTATCTCCCTAGTTTATCAACAATTTCTTAGACAAGCTGAAATGGTAAACAGACAAAACCAGTGCCATTAGGTCAGTGGAATCCATTTGAAAAGACAAAACCAATCTGTCCTTAGATGTTTGCTTCTCTACACTAAGTGCATCTCTTTAATATTAAACTTCAAAGCTCAGATGTAAGAGAAGCCAAATAGTTTAGAGCCTGTTTAAAGTTTACCACAGCACTCAGTAAAGGACAAGAAAAAGTAGGGCTCTTCTAATGTTTCTGTACTGCATCATCCCTTTCCCTCTGCAAAAAAGAATGACAACACATCTTTTGATGTTTTGAATTCTTCATGGCTTTTTATAGCAATACAATACCAGAGCAACTTATTTAAATTTTTGATTTATTGTAAAAAACAAAAGAGTTTGGTATAAGAAATTTCAAGAAAAGCTTTACCTTTTCACTAGCAATTTTAAACTCTGAATTAACATGGAGACAACTTTAAAGGGATTGTATTTTACTCTCCTGCCTTTAAGTCACAGCAACAATTAACACGAGAATTTTTCTGGACTTTTTAAAGAGAAGATTACACAAAATACCTGGTTATTGTAACCAGAAGAAGCTGCAGTTGAAAACAAGGAGGTAACACAGAGTGTTTGGTGACATTACTGAACAGCTCGAGGCACAGGAGCAAAAGCACATGCTGAGAACAGAAGTAACTTAATAAAAGTGCATGAAAGCATATTAAGGAGTTTTTCTCCAATTGCTTAGCTGGGACCAATACAGTAGAACTTCTCTGACCTGTCTCAAAATGAAATAACTTCTAAAACACTTTCAAGAAAAAGATGAAATATCTAGATGACAGAAACAGAGTAATCCAAGACTATTCACACACTGAGTTTATTTAATATTTGGAGTAAGACCAAGCCTAGACCAAAATCAATAGCCAAACTGCCATTGCTTTTAATGGATTTACGACTAATTGTCCATTTATTTCATAATTCGACTTATATCTGTGTCTAAGCATACTAGCATACTCATGCAAAATAATACAAAGATCAAGAAGGAAAAGAAAGCTAAAAAAAGGGTTAGCATATAGCCCTGTACTTTTATCAAAACATAGCTGTTAGTACAGACATGACATCATATTTTAAGTTAGTGCAGAAATATTGTTATTTGTGTTCTGGTTTACCAATTATAATTTTCCCTTAACAAAAAAATCTTGATTATGAGATAAGGTTTGAATGAGTTAAAAGATGGGCAAACGCAAATATAGTAACAGAAATATCTGCACCAGGTAAGGTTAAAAGGCAGCATGCAGAAAAGCATAACCAAAGTTGACTCTTGAGGTGATGTTAACTTATTCCAAAATTCCGTAAATGCTAAAGAACATATCCTTGTCTGCTGTTAAGTAAGTTGACAAATGTAATATCCATAACAATAATCAATGAGTTGTTCAATGGGTTGCAAGAGCAAACTGTCCTGATTCCTTTCTGTCAGTCAGTTATTGACATGCTTCTTGATCTATTGTCTTCTCTGAAAGCTAAAATGTGATTTAAGAAAGGAACAGCCACTGGGAGATGTAAATGCGCTTGTATGCAGCACCTGGGTCAGAACCAATGCAAGCAGCTTACAAAGCACTTTTCAGACAACAAAACCATCAGGGAATTTCACGAACAATGTTCCTAGAAGAAAAGCGGCTGTTTCCACCAGACTTTGTAGATACTAATTCCTGTACATCTAACTGATCTTGTAATGCCACTTAGATACTGTTTATGGCCACTGATTCAGGAGAAAAAAAAGTTATTGATCTGAAGTATGTAAATGATCCCACTACTACAATGGAAACCCTTTAAATACATACTTGAGTACCAGAAATTAAAGCACAGATACCATATAAAATGTTTTTCTCACCTTTGGAAACTTGAAAATAGGACATGTTTTCTTATAAAAACTCCCTTTTCACTGACACTTCTATAAAAACCCAGTCCTTTCTTTCCATGTCCCCAAACTGTCTTTCCATCTGAGCTCCAAGGCATTCCAAGCATGTACTACACAATAAATTGATTTGTCTTGCATTACTCCATTTTTTTCCAGCACACTATTCAGTAACCCACTTCTCCTAGGATATACACCCATATCCCAAGCTGTAAAGCCACAGTAAGCAGATCTTAAATAGTCTTTTAAGGTAAATTACCAGAAAATTGCTTTTTTCCCCCTCTCTCAGAATACTTACATATGTATATAAAAATAGTAGGCAGATCAAACTTTGGATATAAAAAACCCCACCTTCACTACTGTCCTTTTAAAATAGGTAAAGGTAAGAGAAATACCTCATCTGGAAACTAAAAATAGCACGAATAATTTCTATGCTCTTTTTAGATTTTGCTATTATTCCCCTGGAATGTAGTGACCTTATTGGCTTTGCTTATATAAGCGATAATACATTACCTAGCTGGAATTTTTCACTTAACACAAGTGATTTTATGCATACTTTATGCTAGACTGATCTTTCTGCTCTCCTTTCTATATTCTTTTCACACATGTAATCTCCCATGCCAGAACGCAGAAGAAAGGTCTCACTGCTATCCAGTCACAGCAGTATTTCATACCACATACTGAAGACAAACAGGGGTCGCAGACAACCAGCCCTTTTGCTTGAATACACAAATAAATCCATTTCCACCAAGCAGACTGGAGTTGGAACTTGTTCTCAAGCCAGGGGCAGGGGGGAATGCGCCACCCGCGCTGTTACTGCAGATCTGCTTAGCAGCCTCCGCTGCAGCCTCGGACCTTTCGCTACCAAGTGTGCTTCACCTAAATCCATCCTGGGGGCCGAAGGCAACAGGCATGTGTTCTTAAGGACAGTAATATCAAACCTCTCCGAATGGCCACCTGTGTATTTCTGCGCCCCTGCCCCCAATTAGTGAAGGCACATTTACCTGCTGTGCAACTGGTGCTCACACTGGGATAAGGCAGGAAACAGTTCTTTAACCACCACCCTATGTTCAGCTTCTTCCTTTGAGGGCTCAGTCCCTATTTGTAATGGACTCTCACTCAATTTTGAAGGAAGTTATTCCAAACAAGTCGCACTTCTCACACATCTGCCGTCTTCTGGTGCACATGCCGTGTTCCTGTGACATTTAGTAGGGACACCATGCAGGTACCTGAGTTACTCTAAGTGACTTTCCATTTACTTGGAGTTATCTTAGAACAGCTACAGATGGTGCAAACGAAACAAGCACTGATTTCACTGAATCCAATCCTTCAGTCACGTGACTGCTTAAATGAGGTGGCCAAGAAACAGAAGAAAAATGAAGTACCTGGACTAAACAGGAAAAGTACCAAAACAATTAAAAAAAGAGAAAAGAGAAGGCTGTTGCTTATCTAATAGCCTATCAGTAAATCATGTCCTCCAATTTCCTTGGGTTCAGGCCTTCATGATCCTTATTTTCACTTATTTCTAGTTTTGCAATAGAGAAATTTTTACAAATTTAAAAATTAAAAATACACCCTCTTTCAGAGCATGTTCCAACAACAGAAACCAATGTGCCTGGCAAATAAAATTTGTATGCAAGCAGTAGGACCTCAGAAGTGCCATTTACACCTCTTTTTTTTTTTTTTTAAATTGGATCACCAACAGCATCGGTATCATGGACATCACATTTGAAGTTTTCACAAGGTCAAGGAGAAATGAATCCAGATGCAATCTAAAGGCCGATGTTGACCGCATGTAATTCAACTCCTCTTCTTAACAATACCCTCAAAACAATCCCCAAGGAAGCGTTCACGAAACCTTTTTCTACACAGCGAGACTTTGTCACGCATTATTAGACATCATTAGAAACCATTTCCTGTGATGTATGGAAAAACTTCTCAGTGAAAAGGCAAAAATTCACAATACGGGTACTTTTGTTACGTTTAGGAAAATGAGCAAATACTAAACATTGTGCAAAAGGAAAAGACTTTATTTATTTTAATACCGTATTTGATTTGAAAGTTTCAAGCACTGAAGATCAGAAAACCAAACTGACTTTTGCTTTCCTACATACATCCATAGTCGGCATGGAAGCCATTAATTCTTAAGAGAAACCAGCAATGTCTCTTATCACCTAGTTACTGCTGATAGCCTTTTCAGCTGCCACTCCTTGTTTAGGTTTCGAGTATTCCCAAGGTGTCCTGTTCTCTGTATATCCATAGAGCTTCCGCAGTGCCACACGGGCAGCTTCTTCCTCTGCAGCAAGCAGTGTTTCACCAGGACCTTCAGCTATAATCTTCTTATCGCTTGGGGGAAAACAAAAAAAAAACCAATTAAAACCATTTCCATCATGAAATCCTGTATCATGAATAAGGGCTACTAGGTTTTTTCTTCTCCAACGTCTGTGAAAACTGAAGGTAATTTCTATATACGCACAAATGTAAACATTTCCGTTGGCCTTTCCTGTAAAGATAAATGATTGTATATTCAGCAAAGGAAACGCAAAGCAGAAATGTGTCCATTTCCTGGAAGAACACTGTTCTGTTCAGTTAGATTCCTAATATATCACTGATTCTTTACAGTGTTCAATCTGTTAGCCCCGTTAAAAATATGCAAATCTGTTACTCTGGTTAGCTGAAATGAAGAAGTGAAATGCTTCTGCCTTTCCTCCTCCCCTGGTAAGAAAGCATTTTAAAACTTCATCAAAAGGATTCACAGAGAAGCAAGAGGCCAGGACAAGCACTGACCACGTCCAAGACAAGGGCACCAGGGACACCCGGCACTTCCTAAGCCTGGTCTGGATATAAGACACTTCTCTTGCCTCCACTACATGGCCTATGATCTGAGAACTAAAAAGCTTCTCTGGAATATAAAGTAAGTTGCTTTTCAAACCCACCTCCCTTGATGTCTGTCTCTCTGCCCTTCCCTAAGCCCCGGATACAGTCATGGTCCCTCCAAAGCCATTCCGTTACACTGTTCGCCAAGTTCCCGTGTCAGTCACCCAGAACACACACCCAGACTCTTTCGTGCATCCAATTTAGACTTTGAAGCCCTCTAGCCAGAGACTGTCTTTTCATGCACCATCACGGCAAGCTATGGCCAATGCTTAAATGGCTAATTTTATATGGAAGTCACTGAAAGGTTTCTTTTCTGTAATAACTTGACCAAAGAGCATGAGTAGAAAAGTAAAGGACCGTCTTCCCTCCTCCTCCCCTCTCCCCCAGCGTAAATCCATTTCAGTTTAAATCAGTATTGTACTAACCAGTACAACCCAACAAAGTACAGTGGCAGAACCGTGGTGACTCCCAGCTGCCGGGTAATTCTTGGTTCTGGAGCAGAGATATTCCTCTTGGTCAGTTCTTCCACTAGTAAACCCATAGGATTTACAACTTTCCAGATCTCAAACAGGTCTTTTCCAATCAGATGGGGAATAAAAAAATCCTAAACAAGAACATTTAGAAGTTACAATTATTAGGAAAGGTAATGAAGGCTCTAGCTTTTGGTATCTCCTAATAAAAATACAGCATTAATACAATTGACAATAAATTGGTAAGATGAATGATGAAAGCGCCTCAGTGCTCCATGGCAGCCAAGCACAGCTAGCCAGAGTTGCTACACTCGGCAGCTCTGGTTCCGATTTAGCCACTGACAGGGTGCAGGCCATGGGCAGAATCAACCGCCCAGGCCTAAGGAAGGAATGGCAGCAGCCCACGAGAGAAGCTGTAACAACACGTATACGCAGCTCCGAGCACGATGCAAGCAACTCGGTGCTGCTTCCAAGCAAGAGGCTGTGCATCAGAAGAGTTCTGCAAACAGGCTGAAGGGAACGTGCAAACCCACGGGACTTTCAGCTCTTCGGAGCGCTCTCTTGCCTGTTCACTGCTACTTGCTCTTACAGAGACCTCTCATGGGTCTTGTATGGGAAATAAGATTTTAACAAACATTTCTCCATTGCAAAACTAGAAGTGAAAAGGACGACTGAAATGTAGTGTAACCAAGTGGTTTTAGCAGCTACTGCCCTTTTGTATAAAATATCTTTAGGTGCTTGCACTCCTACATGCAAAACCTACGAGCTCAGTCCCTGCTTTATAAAAAAATGGGTTTTTTAGAATTGAAGATACACGTGACCTTACGTGCAATAATTTCATTATTTGACAGTATAGCGCATGGAATGTAACGCTTTCCCATAGCAAGTGTCAGCAAATACTAAAATGTCACCATTACAAACCAGAAGTGTATGATTTTATGTACTTGACCAGCCTGTGCTTCTTAAAAACAAAAAAAGAGCCAACAACAAAAAAACCACAACCCCAAAACCCCACCCAAACACCACCACCAGATCTCACTGTTAAATTGCCTTAGGGCAGGGACTGTCCAACTTCTGCCAATCGCCCAGGATCTCTGGCCATCAAAGTACAGGACAATATTTAATTTTTTGCCTTTTTTTCCCCCTGTAACCTCCGAGACCCTTAAATGTCATTGTTAGGTGTCCGTACAAAAATATACAAGTAAGGAGTTACCCTGACAAAGATCCCCGTTTTCTCAGGCCCGCTGCTACTGAGCAAGGCTCCTATTACAGCGAAGAACGTCCTCTGCAGCACATCGGGCGGGACGGGAAACGCTTTGCAAAGCGTCAGGTCCTGTACAGACAGGTTTTGAGCCACATAAGAAACAAGTTCCTGACTGGTAAGAAAATCTACAAGTGCTCCTATCCCCTCCGCAGGTAAATCAGGGTAGGCACCTTCAAAGCCCTGCGTCAGGTAAGAACATGAAAAAGACATCCCTTGCTCAGCAAGTTTACTATTATCTTGTAGATTAAGAGCGACCGTCTCTTTGTCGAGCCCAAGTTCTCGGCGTCTCGCCTCTTCACTTTCAATGTAACAGGAATTAACAAACGCAGTCTTGAGAAGATCCAAAGAAAAATTTTCATGTAGCCGGTGGCAGAAAGCTTGTATCTCTGCATGGTAATCCCAGTTGGGCTTCTCTGATCTAGGGGCATGGAAAAGAAAACAAATTCGGAAAGAGAACGAGAAGTTACCCGCGCCGCAAGCGTCGCGCCCTTCAGATGATTGAAAGGAAACGAAAAATCGGACTGGTCTGGAGGCTCAAACCCGGGGGTTAAAGCCCGTGGTGTCAAACATTCTCGCCTCGCCCCCCGCCGTTTGCCTGCCGCGGGCCGGGCCCCTGCCACGCTCAAACCCGGGGCTACGCCGGCCTGCGGGGGTAACGCCACCGCTCCGAGGCGTGACGAGAAGGG